AAAAAAAAAGAATAAATTCAAAAGAATGTTACTGGATAGAAATGCAAATAATTTTGATACTTTTTTTTTGGTATAATAGTTGATGTTTGAGGGCAGTGCCTGTGGCCCAAAGGAGTAGGGCATTGGCCCCATGTGCTGGAGGTGGCAGGTTCAAACCCAGCCTCGGCCAAAAAAACTGCAAAAAAAAAAAATTGTTGATGTTTGGTCATTGTTGGTATTGTCTTCAAGTGCTGAGATGTTGGATTTTTTTGAGATACAGAACATTTGAGACTATTCAGTTACAACTTGCCTCCTTTATTGTAACTCACGAGTAGCTGGGTGATGTTTGGCAATCCTGGTGATGTTTCTGCCATTTTGATTTATAGGTGGAAGCCTCTTTGGCCTGCTGAGCAAGAATAATCGCTTTGGCAGAAACCCAGTTGTGTTGTTGGGCATCCTCGTGCACTTTATAGCATTTTACTTAATATTTCTTAACATGCCCCAAGATGCTCCTATTGCTCCTGTGGAGGGAACTGACAGCAGTGCTTACATCAAGCCCAGGTACAGTGACTGTCATTTCATAGTAATGTGAGGATTGGGGGGAGTGAGTAACAGAGGTCTAGATATTTAAAGCGAAACAGTTAGTCCTCCTCAAAGTCTGTTATCTTTGTAAGATCATCTGTCGACCATTAGTAGAGTCAGAATGAATTTCAATAGGAATCTGTAGAGAATCCCAAGTTATTTTTATAATAGTTGGTTTTAACCTTTTGCCCCACTAAATCATTTCCTTGATCCTTGAAGGAGTGCATAGTGTCTGATTTGAATTTTGTACCTCTGTGTTTTGAACAGTGAAATACCCAGAAGATTAGGGCAAAGAGGAAGAACAGAGGGGAGGATGGGGGACTCTGGCCGCTGGGAAGCCCATGCAGTACTTTCAGAGAAGTTTCATGAGTTGTGAGGTTTTGGTTTGTTGCACTCATCTCTGAAGTTCATTGTAATATAGATATTTCTGTCTAGATCCACAAATCCGAGGGAAGCCCAGCCCCCAAACCAATACAGGCTAAGCATCCCTAATCGGAAAATCTGAAATCTGAAATGCTCCAAAATCTGAGGCTTTCTGAGTGCCAACAAGATGTTCAAAGGAGATGCTCATTGGAACATTTTGGATTTTAGATTTTTTTGGATTAGGGCTGCTTAACTGGTAAGTATAATGCAGATATTCCAAAATCTGAAAAAATCCTAAATTTGGAAGACTTTTGGTCCCAAGCATCATTTTGGATACGGGATATATGCAGCCTATATTTTCTTCCCCGTTTGTTAATAGACCTGAATTTGTTACAGTGTAAAGTTGTGTGCATTTGAGTATAAATTTTCAATTTATAAATTCTAATATTCTTGTTTCATAGTATTTAAAACTTGAAGGTAAAATGCTTTTGTTGGGTGGGTTGCATTTACGTTTTAAATGGCTCTAGAAAATATTGTTAATACATGTACTCATACTACATTAATTTTTGTTTTTTTTAGCAAAGAAATTGCCATTCTCTGCAGTTTTCTATTGGGTCTTGGGGACAGCTGCTTCAATACCCAACTGCTTAGTATTTTAGGCTTTCTCTATTCTGAAGACAGTGCACCAGCTTTTGCCATCTTCAAGTTCGTTCAGGTAACCTCTACAGATTGTGTTTAAAGTAGAGTCCTTTTCCATTGTGTGTTACTTTGTTTTCTTTGGTTACTAGTATCCTGTTTTTCTTTTTTTTTTTTGAGACAGTCTCAAGCTGTCTCCTTGGGTTGAGTGCCATGGCATCACAGCTCACAGCAACCTCAAACTCTTGGGCTTAGGCGATTCTCTTGCCTCAGCCTCCCAAGTAGCTGTTACTATAGGTGCCCGCCACAACGCCCAGTTATTTATTTTTTTTTTTTCAGTTGTCATTGTTTAACTGTCCCAGGCTGGGTTCAAACCTGCCAGCCTTGGCATATGTGGCCGAAATCCTACACTGAGCTATGGACACCACCTGTTATTGTGGTTTTTAAGTGAAAGTCAAAGACATCCTTTAAAAGGAATCGTGAGTAGAATTAGGATGCAGTGGTTAGGCACAGTGGCTCATGCCTGTAATCTTAGCACCCTGAGAAGCCCAGATGGATAGATTGCTTGCACTGAGGAGTTTGAGACCAGTTTGAGCAAGAGGATACTCTGTCTCTACTAAAAGTAGAAAAAGTTAGCCAGGCATTATGACAGGCACCTATTGTCCTGGCTTGTTAGGAGGCTGAAGCAGGAGTCTTGCCCAAGAGTTTGAGGTTGCTGTGAGCTGTGATGACACCATAGCCATGGCATTCTACCCAGGGCGACAGAGTGATCCCTCCCCTAGCCTACTTTAGTTAGAGATTTTATATTCTGGTCTCTAAGCCTCAGATAGGAGATTTCCTTCCCTTTTTTTGAGATACAGTGTCACTTTGTCATCCTCAATAGAGTTCTGTGGCATCAAAACTCACAGCAACTTCCAACTCTTGGGCTTAAGCAATTCCCTTGCCTCAGCCTCCCTCCCAGAGTGCTAGGATTATAGGCGTGAGCACCTCACCTGGCCTGAGATTTCCTTCCTTAGATATCAGAATTCCATTCATTTATACTTCAGAAAAGTGCATTTCTTACTCTATACATTATTTTATTATTCCAGTTTTCCATGAAATGCTATTTTAATAGCAGAGATTGTGGGAGGCGCCTGTGGCTCAGTGAGTAAGGC